CTTCCTCTTACCTCTTCTCACCATCTCCCCTTCACACTCAGGCTCACCTATACTCAGATTCACCGACACTCAGGCTCACAAACTCTGACTCACTCATACTCAGACTCAGATTCCCTGACAGACTCGCTCACACACAGACTCCCTCACACTCAGACCCACTCGCACTTACGCTTACTCATAATCATGATACGTATTGCCCGTACTCAGACCACGCACACACACACACACTGATATACGCTCATACTCAGACCAACGCATACGGTGGAGGCATTCGTTAAGGAAGGTGCCCAGGAGGCTTCAGACCTGGGGTCCCTTATCTAATAAGGGAGGCGGTGATACCCATGGCCAATCCTCAATTGGCGTTCCGCCGACTTTCAGGCCCTGGATTTCCTATCCGACGATTCTGTGGGAACCAAAAAAATACCGATACCGCTACTCCCTGGACCTCTCCCGGGGTGCGTTCTGAACAGAATTTCGAGGCGAATCCAGCCCAGGAGGCCCAAAAAGGGGAGAGCGAGGGAAAGGTCGCGGCATGGGTATCTGTCCATCCCCCGAGATTCCTTCTCCAGTGCCCCTACCGTACTCGGACTCACTCGCACTCAGACCACAGGCTCAGACCCTTGTGATGGGCTTGTGTTCCACCACCACCACCATAAGTTGGAGGGGGAGGGGGTCCTCCTCCTCCTCCTCCTCCTCCTCCTCCTCCTCCTCCTCCTCCTCCTCCTCTTCCTCCTACTTATGGTGGTGGTGGTGGAAAACAAGCCCATCACCTTGTGCACACCGAGGCCGCTCACACCTCCAGAGGCGGAAGTGACGGAGGCCACCGCGCGGGGAACCCTGCCGCGCCACGAGGGACACGTAGCGCCTCGGGGCGTTGGCTGCGATCACCCGCACGCCGTGCTCCCGGCAGAGCTCGACCTCGCTGGGGGCAGGCTGCGGTCTCTGGAGAGATGATTCGCTCAAGCTGTAGCCAGCGGGTGTTCTTCGATGTTGGCACCCGGGGCCACAGCGGGCCCCAGGACCATCGAAAGGGGGCCGATATTGAGGGGCAGGAGGAGGAGGAGGAGGAGGAGGAGGAAGAGGAGCAGGGAGGGGAGGGAGGAGGAGAGGAGGAAGAGGAGGAGGAGGAGGAGCGAGGAGGAGGTGGCGGAGGAGGGCGGTGTGAGGGGAGGAGAAAGGAGGAGGAGGAGGAGAGGCGGTGGTGGAGGAGGAGGGGGGGAGGAGGAGAGGAGGGAGGAGGAGGGAGGAGGAGTAGGGAGGAGGAAGAGGTGGAGTTGGAGGAGGAAAGAGGAGCGGAGGGCGGGAGGAGGAGGAGGAGGGAGGATGGGAGGGAGGAGGAGGGAGACGGGAGGGCGAGGAGGGAGGGGGTAATGAGGAGGAGGAAGAAAGGAGGAGGGGGACGGGGGGAGTGATGAAGGAATGAGGATGCGGCGAGCAGCGCACGCAGCGGGGGGAGGATGAGGAGTCAAGTTGGCCAGGTCGAGCGAGTCAGAAGGCCCCGCCAATTCCCACCCTCCCTCCCACAACCCAAAGAGCAATTGTGGCACGACTGCATGTTGGGATTGGGGCGCACCCCCACCCCGCAAGCGGGAGGCGCCCACGCGCGGCCCCGCCCCCGACGACTTGGCGGGGGAAGAGCTCCGCGGGCCGCGCAGGGTGGCGGGAACGGCCAAACTTCCGACGGCCGCGGCGGCGACGTTGCACGCGCCGCGCAGACGCAGCCCTGCCACCCTCACTCGCGAGATGCACGGCGCCACCTTCGCGCACAAGCCGCGCGGCCGGCCTTTCTTCCGCTCTCGCGGGGCCCCGCTGCCCCATTGGCACCTTCATGCGAATCGGCGAGCGAACCACGCGCCGCGTCCGCGCGAGACCGCCACTGTTGAGCGACAAGCGCACAGAACTTGGGCCGGGGCGACGCGCGGCCCACTCGCGCGGGCCCCCAGAAAATTGGCGAGTGGAATATATGCGCCGCGTCGAGGGGCGGGAGCCCCACTTTCACGCGAAAGCTGCGCGGGCGGCGCCAAAGCGAAAACGACATTTTCGTCCGATCGCGCGTCGGCGAAGCTGCGTGCGGAAAATGTGCGCCGCGCGCAAACAGGAGCTCAATGGTTTGGACAAGTGAGCGCGACGACGACGACGACGACAGATCGTTATTTCTTCATTTCGCGCGAATTTGCGGCGCGCCCCGTCCCATCCCCGCCACTCGTTTTTGAAGCGTTGATGATAGAACGCGCATGGTGAAACGAAAACCATGAAAAGTGCGTTGGTGATTGGTGGGTCGGACGGAACTTCAGGGATTCGTTGGCTACCGCCTTGCTGGGTGGCAGAGTAGGGGCTTATACCAATACCAAGAAGAAATCACGAGAGAGGAGGAGGAAGGGGAGCAGGAGGAGGGGGAAGAAGAGGAGGAAATAATGAGATGGAGGAGGAGACTATAAGTACATGATAGGGATAGGATTACATTGCTTTGTGGCAGAAGGAATCGCACGAAGTGCTATAAAACGGGAACTAGCACGGGCACGGCAGGCTGAAACCTGCCGCACCCCCGAGCCAGAATGGCAGTGGAAAAGGGAGACCATTAAGAAGGGAAAAAGTACGGGCAAAGCGATGAGCTACCTTTCGAGTCTGGTGATCAAGCGGGTCTGATCGTGCCTCGCCGGCTCGGGTGCACAAACCACACCCGGACCAGCGAAGCTAGAATAAGCAAGACTGAGGAGACCTTCGACTGACCAGGACTCACTAAACATTTACAGGCATAGACAACTGCAACGCAAGGGCTTCTGCTGACCACCTCCTTCCATATAGCGTGAATGGGAAAAGCCTCTACTTGTGGGGCTCCTTATGAATGAATACACAGCTGGGACCTTCTACTGGCCAGGTCTCAGCGCATATCTACATAGAAGAGGGAAGACTGCAGCGAGAGGGCCCTCTGCTGACCGGGCCCCTCGTAGAAATTGCAATGCGGCAGACAATTTCGACTGGAGCGCACAGCGAGTGCAAGTTGCGCGCTCAACTGCCAGAGTACTTGCCGCCCCATCAACACGGTCGATAGCGACGGCCCCTCTTACGGGGAGCTTCTCTTCATAGAACTCCCGCTTGCAGTGTCACCTTCGCGAACGCAGTTCACGGAATGCGAGACTCATGGGCTGCGTCGCATTCGCGAACGCAGTTCGCGATGTGCGCGTCGATCGTTGCTGTCGCGAACATTGTCCAGACATGCGACGCCGAGTGGGTCGCCCAGTGGCGTCATCGCTGTCCCTATTGCGGTTGCTGTGGCGGGAGCTCGGCAACGTCTTCTCGCGGCGTTCCTCGCTCAACCCCGCTGCGGGGCATTCGCGGGCGAGCTCCCCATCCGCGATGTCGAGGGTGAGCTCCCGCCCGATGCTTCTTCTGAATTGCTGCGCTCGGCGGCCCCCCCTTCTGCCCGTCCGCCACTAACTCCCCCCCGGGCGCCTCGCATCTCACATGTCGTTTTTTGTGTTGTTTGTTCTCTCTGTCTGTCTCTCTCTCTCTCTCTCTCTCGTTAACTTCCTCGTGATATGTAAACGAATTATTCTCTTACGTTGTCTCATTTATCTTCTTACCTCCCCCTCTCGTGTTTTGTTTTCCTCTCTCTCTCTCTCTGTTCATCTGTGGTTTATCATGCATTCATTTTTGTTTGTTTCTCCCACTCTCTCTTTCACTCTGCTCTTTCTCTTTTCTGACCCCCTTTCTCGCGATAGTATTAAAATGCCCCGGGTTCTCCTCGCACCTCGCTCCTTTGTCCGTCCTGTCCACGATTCTGGATCTTGGTCGACTTGCCGTTCTCCTTCCGCGTCCCCAATCCATCCCTTATCTGTGCATCTGACTCCTCCTTGATTTTTGTCGAGCCAAATCGACTTGCACTCGTTACTTAGAATCGCGAAATCGCCTCCGCACAGAGTTGCTAAAGGCGCCTGTTGCCATGCTTGAACACGCGAGGAAATGCTCAGCTGGAGGTGAAGAGCCCAATCTGTTTCAACACATCATCGTCGCAATCGCCCCAGTTACTAAGCGCGCCGCGGATATCATACATTGATTCGACAAGTTCACTGCGTTTGCCTGTCTCGTGACCCTCCTGCGGTAACCTGACAAGCGTGTTTTGTGCTGCGGCATAGAAATAATTCCTTTGGATACCGATAAATGTTACGCTCAATCCAGACTTCTTTCCGCCAGTGAGAATGATAGCTTCTGCGCTTGCAAATGCGGCGCGGCAGCGTACACGTTTTTCTCCTTGACGTTTTGCGGGGCCCGCCGGGCTGTCAATCTTGATCGGCATTCAGGGAATTCGTCATGTCCCTTTGTTGATGTCAATCCACCTGGTTCCTACTGGCGCCTGCCCTGTCCCCCAAATGCCCCCAAAAGGCCCAAGGAGGCCCCTAAGGTGCCTCCAAGAGGCTCCCAGGAAGCTCCCATTGAATGCTCCGATAGCTTGGCAGAGCTCTTCCCACAACGCTCGGCCACATGGGCGATTCCAGAATGTTGGGGGGGCGGTGATTCGCCGTTGGCGTCTTCGATCATATTCGGCGCGCAGCCACCCAGCCGCCCAACTTTCACTATCTGGTGTAAGAACTACTACTCGGTGCACGCCCGTCCGACGCAACCCTCACTACCCTACGCGACAAAACGCACGTCGGTGCACATCCATCCGGCCCAACCCCCGCCATGCGATGGAAAAAATAATCGGCGCGCACCCGCTGATCTCCAACGTCGGCCCGCCCCCTGGCCCCGAACAGACCCCGGGCACGAAAGGCGGAACAAAGCAATGCATCGATAGCAAATGCATCACACATCGGTGCGTTTCGGGCGCCCCTCGCCGATTCCGATTTTGGACCCAAGCGCTGCCCAGGCTGCTCCTGGCGCTCCTGTACGCTCCAAGATGCTCCCGGACGCTACTCCCCAAGCGCTCCCACGCTCGCCGTCGCCACCAGCAACAACAGCATCCACATCCTCATCTTCATCGCCCTCGTCGCCGCAGGGGGCCTCAAGGAGCAGATGAATCATCGCGGTGGCGCGTGAACCGCAAACGATTTTCGCAATGGGGCTCTCGATGTGCTGGCTCCGTTCGACCTCTCTATACATGGCCAGGGAACAGATCGAGGGCGGGTCGTCTTCAAAAGAAGGCTTCTGCCCTGGCGACGTGCCTACTCGCCTTCCAGATTGTCCTCGACTGCGCGGGCGGATGGCAGACCCTTTCCAAGAGGGTGGGAGCATTGGGCAAGGAACGCTTAGATAAGGAATCCAGGGTCTGGAAGCCGGTGGGATAAGGAGTCCTCCTGTGTCTGCAACCTCCTGGGCACACTTCTTAACGAAGCCGCCACCATATTGGGGTCTCCCGTTGGCCTCGCGTGCATTCAAATATCAAGTCCACCATCTACACTCACGTGACCTTCCTCGACCTCTACGACCCGGCGTTCCATATTTTGCAACAGCTAACACGGATGGAGGGCGGCTCCTCTTTCGAAACTGGGCTCTCGCGTAAGATTTCCGCGAAGCATACGTCCACGACTTCGACATCCTGCAACGCTTGGACGGGTGGAGGGCGTGTGCTGATCAAAATAGGGTCACCCCGGGCGTCCTTCAAGTGAAGAGAGGGTCCTTTACAACAGGCACCCTCGTCTGACTGGGGGACCGACTGGCCGCTCGTCATTCAAGGGGATGCGCCCGCAGTGGAAATGAAGACTTGTATGCACCTCTGAGGAAGGGGCTTGGGACGGGAGGATGTCTTGCAGCATCGGTTGATCCATCTTGGCTTGACTATGGTCCTCCTCCTCCTCCTCCTCCTCCTCCTCCTCCTCCTCCTCCTCCTCCTCCTCCTCCCGCTCCTCGCTCCTCGCTCCTCGTTCCTCCTCTTCATCCTCCTCCTCCTCCTCCTCCTCCTCCTCCTCCTCCTCCTCCTCCTCCTCCTCTGCACCTCCTCCTCCTCCTCCTCTCCTCCTCCTCCTCCTCCTCTCCTCCTCCCCCTGCTCTTCTTCCTCCTCTTCCTCCTCCTCCTCCTCCTCCTCCTCCTGCTCCTCGTTCCTCGCCCCTCGCTCCTCGCTCCTTCCGCTCCTCGCTCCTTCCGCTCCTCGCTCCTTCCGCTCCTCGCTCCTCGCTCATGCTGCTCCTCCTGCTGAGCGGCCGCCTGCACGGCTCTCGCGGCGAGGCCGGGCAGCACAGGCGCAGCCAGCGCGCGCGCTCGGAGAAGCAAGAGCAAGGCAAGGGGCGGGGGGGGGGTCGGCCTCGATGGTGCATACAGTCGGACCTGGGACAAAGAAACATCCCTCAAGAACCTCAGACCCTCCGCTGGCCAAAGCACACAGAACATCCAAGGGTGCCCTCCCCAGGACTAGGGAACCGAAAAGTGACATAAACATAAAAACTCGGAGGTCCGCGCGGATTTCTCGGATCGGCGCTGGATCACCCTCCCTGGCGTGCGGAGCGCGCCAGGGGCGGCGCTGGAGGCGCCGCCGGGGGGCCCCAGCGCCGATCCCAGAAATCCGCGCGGACCTCCGAGTTTGTATGTTTATGTCACTTTTCGTTCCCCTAAGGACGCACGAGGAGCATCCAACAGAAGACGAAGAACGCGAGGGTGCCCTCCCCGAGAGACGACCTCGATCTGACATGCCTCGGCCCGACCGTACCTCCAGGATGCGGCCTCGCCCGTCCGCGGAGAGCCCCGCGCCGGACCCAGGCGGAGCCCGAAGATCTCTCGGCGTCCGCTCCGGGCTCCCGTCGGCTGCACGACCCCCCCATCGAAATCAAAAGCGCAAGCTTCTGTCCAGCCTCCTCGCCCCCGAACTCCAGTGCCAACGGGCGCGGTGCAGCGCGGCGGCCCGCGAGGGCGGCAGCAAAAAATGTGGCAGCCGCCGGTGCCCGCTCCTCCTCCTGTGGGCGACGCGCAGAGCGACCCCAGGCGAGAGCGAGCTCTGGCTCGCGCGGCCTGCGGAGGGCCGCGGGGGGGGGGGGGGGGGGGCGCACCCGCGCGCGCGCGCAGGGCGCTGCTGTAGCACCACGCTCGGCGGCCAGGGGGCCTCGGCGGGCCCGCACCGGAGGTCACTCCAGCGAGAGGTCGCTCCTGCATCTCGTCGATGCTCCCTGCTCGTCGTCGTCCTCCTCCTCCTCCTCCTCCTCCTCCTCCTCCTCCTCCTCCTCCTCCTCCTCCTCCCCCTCTCCCCCTGCTCCTGCTCCTCCTCCTCCTCCTCCTCCTCCTCCTCCTCCTCCTCCTCCTCCTGCTCCTCCTCCTCCTCCTCCTCGTCCTCCACGTCCTCCTTGTCCTCGTCGTCGTCCTCCTCCTCCTCCTCCTCCTCCTCCTCCTCCTCCTGCCCCCCATCCATTCCCTCGGCCAGGCCGGGCGGGGCGGGAGGGCCCGACCAGGGGGCGGTAGTCCCTGGCGTAGTTGGGCCACGGCCGCGAGTCCTGGCCCGGCGGGAGGGCTGCCACAGCAGAAGGGAAACAACAGCGTAGACATAAACTTTTGGCGCCCCGCGCGGAGCGCCAAAAGTTTGTATGTGTGTGTGTGTGTGTGCCGTTTTTTCTTCTTGGATTCCAGGCTGGCGAGCGCACGTCGCGGGGGGCACTGTCGGGCTTGATTGGAGAGGACACGCGAGAGGACACAAGACTCTTCCGACGGCAACGTGGCACCAGAACACCACAGGATTTGCGAGCTGCACAGGTCGGGATAGACAGGGCAGAAGGGTACCCTCGGTTTGGCATGGGCGACCTACCATTGTCGACGCCATGACAATGGACACTCTAATCGTTCTATCATTGAATTAAACATGTATTCAAAATGTCTTCAATATGCTTTAAACATGTTCGAAGCATCTGTTAAACATGTGCTGGCACTCTGGAAGCACACTCTGAACATGTTTTAGACATCTGGAAATTGTTTGGTGATGTGCCTCCTCTCCGTTGATCGTCTTCCACAATTTTACCAATCAGGGCCAACTGTAGGTTGGCGGCGCGCACAAGGGGGTGGAGGGAGGGGGGAGGGCTTCTTAGAGGGAGGCTGCTCCTCAGAAGGCCCCAGCAGCCGCGCACACCAGAGGCCGCGCCGGCGAGGGGCCACTCTCGCGTGTAGCCGATACTGCACATGCATGTTGAGCCTCCTCCTCCTCCTCCTGATCCTCCTCCTCCTCCTCCTCCTCCTGCTCCTCCTGCTCCTGCTCCTCCTCCTCCTCCTCCTCCTCCTCCTCCTCCTCCTCCTCCTCCTCCTCCTCCTCCTCCTCCTCCTCCTCCATCCCCCTCCTCCTCCTCCCCTCGGCTCCCGGCGTCGCGCCGAACCGCAGGAAGACACGCGACCGCCGGCGCTTCGCCGCGTTCGGCCTCGGGGTCGAAGGCCGCGTCCGTCACCGCGGATGGGGCCGAGAGGCTCGTGGGCCCACGTCACGGCAAGACTGCGGCGTCGGAGGAGGAGGTCCTCCGCCATCTCCCAGCCCACGATGCCTGGGGGCCGTCGCGAGAAGATCTCGGGGTCGAAGGCCGCGTCCGTCACCGCGGATGGGGCCGAGAGGCTCGTGGGCCCGCGTCACGGAAAGACTGCGGCGTCGGAGGAGGCGGTCCTCCGCCTTCTCCCAGCCCACGATGCCTGGGGGCCGTCGCGAGAAGATCTCGGGGTCGAAGGCCGCGTCCGTCACCGCGGATGGGGCCGAGAGGCTCGTGGGCCCACGTCACGACAAGGCTGCGGCGTCGGAGGAGGTGGTCCTCCGCCTTCTCCCAGCCCACCATGTCTTCTCCATGTCCTCCTCCTGCTCTCCCTGCACGCCGCTCACGGTCGGCTGCCACAATCGGCTTCTGCAAAGGAGGCTGCTGCGTGCTGCAGCCTGCTGCGCCCTGCGCGCCGACTGCTCGGAGTCCGCTGCCAGCCGGCCACTCGGGAGGAAGCAGCCGCGGGTTGCTGCACGCTGCCGCAGAGCAGGCTGGTGGCGAGCTGCTGGAGGCTCTGCGACAAGAACGCTTTGCCGACAAGATCGCAGAGTGGCCTTGCCGTACCACCGCCGAGCCTCGCGGTGTCGCCACCGCTCATTCCGCATAAGGCCCTCACCACCCTTGTCCCACTGCATTTGGCTATCAGGTCTGCCTCTGCTACAGCCTCTGTCGCCACCACCACCACCACGGGCGCCTGGGTCGGTTTCGGAGCTTCGAGTCTTCGAGTTACCACCCTCTAGCTTGTGCGGACTCATCAGGGGCGTGGACTGCTCAAACATCCAAACCAGAAGTGCAATCAACAAATCGATAGTGGACATCAGAAGTTACACCCTTTGCAGGCAGAAGCACAGCGCAAGGAATTGCAACTTCATTCACCTGCACGACGTTTCATCGTTGCGCTCTCGAATGCCCCGTTGGAATTTGAAGCGCGCGCGAGAGAGGGTGAGAGAGTCAAAACAAAACAAAACAAAACACATGCGCGCGCCTGCGTGCGTGGGCAATCCGCGAGGTGAAGCTGGACCTGCTCCAGACTGGCCACCGCGGCACTGCGGGCGAGTCAGCTTCACACATCCAGGGAGTGGACCGGCGAGCTGACGACGCCATGGGTGGACACCGCACACCGCGTGCCCTGCCAACGAACAGCCTGCCCCCCCCCCCCCGAGTCCTGGGTCATATCCTGCTCTCGTATGGCGCGCTGCAGGACGTACTCGTCCAGAACCTCCGAGCGCGCTGGCGGCCCCCCCGCGCACGGAGGCCCCGCGCTTCTGGACCACATCTCCGGCGAGGCGCTCCTCCGGTGGCCCTCGGGGCCCTGCCTGCTCCGCCGTGCAGGAAGGTCGGCCTGCTGACCAGAAGGTGTGCGCGGGGCTGGAGCCGGACCTGGGCCAGCAGAGCATCCCTCGAGAGCGCGAGGCCCTCCGCCGGCCCACGCACCCCCAAAACCACGAGGTCGCCCGACGGTGCCCCCCCCCCCCCAGGGTGCACGAGAAAACATCCGACGGGCACGAAGAACACCAGGGGCACCCTCGACGAACCGACCTCGATCTTCATACCGCGGCCCGACCCGCAGGACCCGCGGCGCCGCCCGCGTCAGGAGGGGCACTGGCGCAGAGAGCGAGGGCCGCAGTCGCCCCCCCTGGAAGGGCCCGAGCTCTGGCCGAGGTCGGCGCGTTCCCCCCCCGGCACGCCGACGCCGCAGGCCCCGAAACTCCGCCCACAGGGAGCCCCCGAGATCCTTCCCGCTCCTCCTCCTCCTCCTCCTCCTCCTCCTCCTCCTCCTCCTCCTCCTCCTCCTCGTCCGTCTTTGGCCGGCTGCTCCAGAAATCCCCCCCCCGGGGGGGGGGGGGACGCGCGCGGGCTCTCCGAAACGACGGCGTCGGCTGGCATCGGATCCGAAGTGCTGGCGTCCAAAAGTGCTTGCGTCTCGCGCCGCCATCAACGCGCATGTGCGCGCATGATTTTTCTTGCAGGGGACGGGGTGGGGACCGATGAAAGGATCGTACGAAATCATTTTTCGAATCCTTTTACATCATCGGAAAGAGAATCTATGCTGTGCAATCAATCACTTGCCGAACTTGAAGTTGTCAACTCCACTGCTCGCGCAATCATCCCACCCACCCACCCGCAACTTGGTTTGCAAAACCCATGCGGGACCGAGCACAAATATCGCTCCGGGGTCGTCTTGGAGCCCTCGGGGGCGTCTCAAGAGCGCAAGACGGCCGGAGAAGCAAGACGGCCGACGACGACGACGACGACGACGACGACGACGACGACGACGACGACGGCGGCGACGACGACGACGCCGACGACGACGACACCGACGTCGACGACGACGAAGACGACGACGCCGACGCCGACGACGACGACGAAGACGACGACGACGACGTCGCCAACGAAGACGACGACGAGGGAGGAGGGAGGACGACGACGGCGACAACGACGACAACGACGACAACGACGACAACGAGGGAGGAGGGAGGACGGCGACGACGCGAACGACGAAGAAGGAGGAAGGACTGCGACGCCGACGACGACAACGACGAGGGAGGAGGGAAGACGACGACGAGACGACGACGACAACGACGACGACGACGGCGACGAAATAGGAGGGACGAAGACGAGACGCCGACGACGGACGACGACGACGACGACGACAACGACAAGGGAGGAGGAGGAAGGACGACCACGGCGACAATGACGACGGAAACGACCACGACGCCAAAGAGGACGACGACGACGAACACGAGGAAAGACACAGGACGACGTAGGCGACGACGACGACGACGACACGGGAGGAGGGAGGACGGCGACGAAGACGACGACGACGACACCGCAAGAGCGCGCGCGCACGCTTTTGTTGAAAATCCGTGTTGCGAAACCTTGTGTTTTTGTAGGTTTTTTGGACGCGCGATTTTGATCCTTCCGAAACCGATGGGTTTTGAAGGAGTTCGGCGTACTGGGTTTTGAAGGAGTTCGGCGTACGCGCGCGACGACGCGCGCGTCTGCACTTCGTCCCGTTTTTTGCAGAGGATTCTCGCGACGGCACACGCGCAAGGGCGTTCGACAGATTTCGACATGCGCGCGCGACGCCCGTTTGGTAGCATCTTCTGAAAATCTTGAACAACGAATGGTTTTCTTAAGATTTCGCAAGAGCTCGCGCGTAAGCTTCTTTTCGCAAATCAGTGTTACGAAACCCTGTGTTTTTGTATGTTTTTTGGAAACTCGATTGCGACATCATTCCGAAAGTGTTTGAAGGATTCCGGCATGCGCGCGCGACGACGCGCGCGTGTGCACTTCGTCCCATTGTTTGCAAGGGATTCGTGACAAGTGCTATGTTAGAACAACAAAATGTCACCACATAATGTTTTTTTACCAGGGAACCTAAGAGGGGAATACTGGTTGGCCTGGGACATTGTGATTTCATATTTCGGATGGACATGTGGTCATAATCATATGTGATTTACATACCCGAGAGGGGCAGCGACAACTTGGGAGGGGGTAGAGTCCATTCTGTTTTGAGAAACGAGAGCCCGCGTAGTGCGACATAATAATATGCAATCTATGTGATGCAATACGCGTGGTGCAATCTATGCTGCGAGCGAGCAGTGAACGCGCCGCAGGCGCGAATTTTTTGGTGAAAGCAACGTGGCGCAGTCCAGCGATGGCGACGGGCGGCGACGACGCGGCGGCGGGGCGGCGAAGGCCGACGCGGAGCCGCCAGACCGACGCACGAGCCCAGGCGAGGGGCGGCGACGAGGCGGCGGCGGAGCCCGCGTGCCCTGTCGGGGCTCCCCCGCACCTCGTCGCGTGACTTTCTCGGGCCCAACGAGGGCCCCAAGACGGGGCAAGAGGGCCCCAAGAGGCCCCGAAGACGGTCCCGACCGATCGCTCCAGGACGCTCAAGATGGCTCCACACGGCCCTGGAGGCCTCCACGGCGCCAGGCCTCCAAGAGGCCTCCCGAGAGGCAAAAAGCATGGCTTGTCCTTCGGTTTTTGAAGTTTGTTCGCTTTCTCGCCTTTTCGGCTTTCCGACGCTCTAAGACGGCCAAAGAGGCCCCCAAGATCGCCCCAAGACGGACCAAGAGGCCTCCAAGAGAGCCCCAAGACGGCCCGAGAGGGCCCCAAGACTGCCCAACTGCGACTGCGACTGCGACCCGCATTGCACACCCTGTAGGTGCCACGGGTTGGGGCCGAAGCACCCATTACATATTAAAGTGCCTGACAGAAACCTTGCTCTAGATCGTTCCATGCATGTCGCGTGGAAAACCTCAGGAGCAGATGAACGACATCTCGCGCTTCACGTCCGTCTGCGAAAGCTTTCTTTAGTTCCGGGGTCAACATTTCTTGATGCTTTGAAATGAAATGAAACATGCCGTCAATCCAGCGACGCTTTGGTCGGCGAGGGCGTCTTCTCGCATAGTTCAACGTGCTGACACGGATCCCAAGATACAGCCTGACGCATCCACTCTCCGGGCGCCTTGCATGCAACTGTTGCGAACCATCGCCATTTCTTCGACGTTGTTGTGTGATCCAACCACCAATGTGCAATGATTATCCTCCACCTCTCTCGTACTGCTTTTGATCTATTATACCCAAGATTCCAAATCTTCCTGAAGGTGCTCTGCTCCGGGTAGTTGTTCGTGTTTTCTCCATCGCTGTCCACATCGTCGTCGCTGCTCGTCGCTGTTTTTGCCATCTCTTCTCTCTCTAAGCCGTCAACTGGGCGTACCAAAAGACTGCCCAAGAGGGCCCAACGACGGCCCCGAAAGGAGACCAAGAGAGGGAACATGAACCGAAAATCCGAGCCTTCCGCCTCAAGAGGCCTCCAGGAGGCCCCCAGAGGCACCCAGGAGGCCCCAAGAGGCCCCCAAGAGTTCCCAAAGAGGTCCCAGGAGGCCCCCAAGAGGGCCAAAAGAGGCCCCAAGGGGCCAAAACGGCTCCCAAGAGGCACCAAAAACTGCCTTCAAGAGGCCCCCGAGAGGCCTCCCACGGCACCCCAACGAACATCCATGAGGCTTCATACCCACAACCCAGGCACAGTGGCGGAATGGGCCGAAGGCCAACAGCTGAGAACCCCTAAGTGCAAGCACCGCTTAGGGAAAAAACGCAGAGGACGAGGCCGAGGACGAGGACGACGAGCACGACCACGGCGACGGCGACGACGACGACGCCGACGACAACGGCGGCGGCACGACCGAGCAACGCTGGGGCGGGCACGCGCTGCACGTCGGATTCGAACATCTCGAGCGACAGCACCAGGCGGCGGCCTCGAGTGGAGGGGGGCACGGAACTGACGGTCGCTTCTGCTGCGCGCCTGGGGGCGGGTATGGCGGGGGCTCGTGCCGTCACGACCCTGGCGGTGGCCGTCACGACCCTGGCGGTGGTCTCTGACACAGCGCGGATCGCTCAGCCTTGAACGAGCGGCGGCCTACCGATCGCCAGATCGTTCCACGTTGGCCGATTCTGGGTCATCGGTGGTGTTCAACCGTGAACGCCCTCGGCGGGGTCGCCGTCGACGCGACACGAACCTGCCATAGGCGCGGGAGGATCGGAGGATGGAGGCGGTTGAGCCTTTTTGGGGGGCTCCTGGAGGCTTCTCCACGCCACGGCTGGATCCGCCTCCACATCAAAACCAGGATCCAGCAAACATTCGAGGTGCGATTCCTGCCAACAAGGAGCGACAACCGTCGTGTCCTGGATGCTGCTGCTGTCTGCTCGGCCGGCGCCATTTCGTCGAGGCGGCGTCATAATCATGCGAAGCATGCGTCTCTGTGTAAGTCGGAAGTGCTGACCGAACGGGTCTGGGAGTGTCCACGCTTCTGCTCCGTACCGTCCTGTCGGACTGACGGTGGTGTTTGAAAGGCGGCGTCGGCGTGAAAGCGAGGAGGGGGAGGAGGAGGAGGAGGAGGAGGAGGAGAAGCAGGAGGAGGAGGAAGAGCAGGAGGAGGAGGGTTGGATAGGATTGCGATTCTGCTGAAAGTTTGTCCCACTGCAAGCTGGCTCAAACGAGACATGGCTGACGCCTCCGCTGGGAAGCCCGTTGCTCCCCTGGAGAGTGCACCAAACTTGCTCCACCTTGCCAGACCTTTTTAGGCAAAGTTGTGCCTCTGCTCGTTCCCAGGCCCAGTGCATGTCCCACTTTCCTCCCCGGTCTCCCAACCCCAACAAGAATGCTTGCCGCTGCTTCTAGCCAGGCCGCCTGCACTCTCTGGTGCGGAGAGGGAGGGGAGGGCAAGGTTAGGAGGGGACTCTGAGTCCCAATTCTCGTTGGGGGGGGGGGCAGGATTTGTCCGCCTCCGTCTGGCCGTCACGGTACGGACTGAAGGGCTAAGCACTCATGCAACTAAAGGAAAAGAAAGAAGGCCAGGAGGTGAGGAAGAGAGGGAAGGGGGAGATAGTTGCTAAAACCCGTCAAGACAAACTGCCCAGGCTGGCTTTATTTAGGGCGGGGTTTTCGGACTCAACTGACTCAACCTGTTTTTGCATCATCGTCATCATCATCGTCACCATCGTCGTCATGAGATTCATCATCGTCCGCCCTGGGCCGACGACGATTGTAATGATGGTGGTTAGCAATTCGTAGTGCTGATGGTGGTGGCGATGGTGATGGTGATGATGGTGGTGCTCATCACATCCAGAATCACCATCATCACCATCACCATCATCACCATCACAACCGCCCCCACCATACCATCGCCACCATCCCCATCATCATCATCATCATCATCATCATCATCATCATCATCATCATCATCACCATCCATACCACCAACATGTTCCAGTATGTTCGAGCTCCCTGGGAGCTCTAACATGGCTCGTTAGAGCTCCAACGGAGCTCTAACATAGCATGTTCGAGACTGTTAGAGCCCCCTGGGAGCTCTAACATAGCATGTTCCAGTATGTTAGAGCTCCCTGGGAGCTCTAACATGGTATGTTAGAGCTCCGTGGGAACTCTAACATGGCTTGTTAGAGCTCCAACGGAGCTCTAACATAGCAGGTTCGAGTATGTTACAGCTCCCTGGGAGCTCTAACATCCTATGTTAGAGCTCCCATTTTAGAGCTCCCTGGGAGCTCTAACATACCGAGCTCCAACGGAGCTTTAACATAGCTTGTTAGAGCTCAGTGGGAGATCCCTGGGAGCTCTAACCTGGTATGTTAGAGCTCCGTGGGAGCTCTACCATGGCTTGTTAGAGCTCCAACGGAGCTCTAACATAGCATGTTCGAGTATGTTAGGGCTCCTTGGGAGCTCTAACATGGTATGTTAGAGCTCCGTGGGAGCTCTAACATGGCATGTTAGAGCTCCAACGGAGCTCTAACATAGCATGTTTTCAGTATGTTAGAGCTCCCTGGGAGCTCTAACATGGTATGTTAGAGCTCCGTGGGAGCTCTAACATGGCTTGTTAGAGCTCCAACGGAGCTCTAACATAGCATGTTCGAGGATGTTAGAGCTCCCTGGGAGCTCTAACATGCTATATTAGAGCTCCCACGTTAGGGCTCCCTGGGAGCTCTAAAATACCGAGCTCCAACGGAGCTTTAACATAGCTTGTTAGAGCTCAGTGGGAGATCCCTGGGGGCTCTAACATGGTATGTTAGAGCTCCGTGGGAGCTCTAACATGGCTTGTTAGATCTCCAACGGAGCTCTAACATAGCATGTTCGAGTATGTTAGAGCTCCCTGGGAGCTCTAACGTGCTATGTTAGAGCTCCCATGTTAGAGCTCCCTGGGAGCTCTAAAATACCGAGCTCCAACGGAGCTTTAACATAGCATGTTTGAGCTCAGTGGGAGCTCCCTGGGAGCTCTAACATGGTATGTTAGAGCTCCGTGGGAGCTCTAACATGGCTTGTTAGAGCTCCAACGGAGCTCTAACATAGCATGTTCGAGTATGTTAGAGCTCCCTGGGAGCTCTAACATGCTATATTAGAGCTCCCACGTTAGGGCTCCCTGGGAGCTCTAAAATACCGAGCTCCAACGGAGCTTTAACATAGCTTGTTAGAGCTCAGTGGGAGATCCCTGGGGGCTCTAAGATGGTATGTTAGAGCTCCGTGGGAGCTCTAAAATGGTTGTAGAGCTCCAACGGAGCTCTAACATAGCATGTTCGAGTATGTTAGAGCTCCCTGGGAGCTCTAACATAGCATGTTCGAGTATGTTAGAGTTCCCTGGAAGCTCTAACCCGGTATGTTAGAGCTCCGCGGGAGCTCTAACATGGCATGTTAGAGCTCCACCGGAGCTCTAATATAGCATGTTCCTACATGTTAGAGCTCCCTGGGTGCTCTAACATAGCATAACTTGCTATGTTAGAGTCCCTGGGAGCTTAAATGTTATATTTAAGCTTCCCATGTGAGCTCCCTGGGAGCTCTGAAATACCGAGCTCCAACGGAGATTTAACATAGCATGTTAGAGCTCAGTGGGAGCTCCCTGGGAGCTCTAACATGGAATGTTAGAGCTCCGTGGGAGCTCTAACATAGCTTGTTAGAGCTCCAACGGAGCTCTAACATAGCATGTTCGAGTATGTTAGAGCTCCCAGGGAGCTCTAACATGCTACATTAGAGCTCCCATGTTAGAGCTCCCTGGGAGCTTGAAATACCGAGCTCCAACGGAGATTTAACATAGCATGTTAGAGCTCAGTGGGAGCTCCCTGGGAGCTCTAACATGGAATGTTAGAGCTCCGTGGGAGCTCTAACATAGCTTGTTAGAGCTCCAACGGAGCTCTAACATAGCATGTTCGAGTATGTTAGAGCTCCCAGGGAGCT